TGTTTATGGTTGCTTCTGTGAAGCTGGTTTTGGAAAGTTGACCGTATTCACGGGCCTTGCAAATACCGTGAGGATGAACCAACATTATTCATCGACACTGTTACCCACCGCCAAGAAGTTCCATGGCAACGGCAATTCGGATTGCCTTCTATTTGAAGACAACGATCCAAAACACAAAAGTCGTCTGTGCAATGCTTGGAAAGAGGAAAATGACATTAAACAAATGGACTGGCCGCCACAGTCACCCGATTGCAATCCGATCGAAATGTTTGGGCTATTATTAAGGCGAGGCTTCGTGGTAAAACATACCGCAATTTGAAGCAGCTCAGTTCATTCATTCAGCGCCAGTGGAAAGATTTTCGAAGCGAATATGCTGAAAATTTGAGCAAAAGTATGCCCAACAGATGTGCCCGTGTGATCGAGAAAGAAGGAGAATGGATTAAATATTGATTATTGGCGCCGTAGCTTAGGTACTAAATAAAATGTAAAAAAAAATCAACCTCTCCCTATAATGAAACTTACTGTATGTAGAGGTGTGAAGGGGCGTGCGGCGCTGTAATGATTTAGATGAAAACAGTGTTGAATAACGTAGTAACCATTGCACGTGCACAACTGTATGTTTACTTTTGTGTTGTTTACTGTTTTCATCTATTTTTCAGTTTTCACACCAGCACATCTCCTTAAGATGGCATTTCAAGCATTTGGGAGGCACATAAATTGACCGAAAAATGCCGTAGCATAAAATATATTTCCATGTTTTTTTTGCAATGTATCACATTTATAATAAGTTGTTCCATCTTTTGATCTAACTCAAATTTAATAAGTATTGTAACCAAGATCATATATTGAGAAATTAAACAGCATTTATGAAATTTATTAAATAAAAAAACCTTTTAATTTTCTGTATACACCAAGGGGTTTTAAAATTGAAAAGCTAACAAAGCTTCACTTTGAGAATCTCCCCCTGTGAATATGTATGATGTAAACACGTTTCACACTTTTAAACGCTAGTTGAAAATCTCAGTGATCGTAAAAAGTTAACAACTTTGCTGAAATCGCAACTACCGATCGATTGAGCAAGAGACAAAAACAAATATGTTCGTTGTTGACTCGCTGTGTGTTAAAATTAATTAAAATACTGATACCTCGTTTGCATTTTGTTCCGATTTCTGTGAAAAGTTGAATGTTAGGAAAGTTGTATTGAAATTAAATTAAAACCATAGCCAATAGTTGAGTGTCAATTATCTGATTCATTGCGCTGAATGCTCATGTGAGATGATGTGTATAGTTGTGCTTATGTTTTCTTACTATTTACGTATGAACCACATGCCAATGAATCATTTGTTGACGATAATTCTTTTTTAAATGCGTATTTTATTATATAAAACCTTATTTGAATAAATGAATATAATTTTAGCTTAAATCAAGATATGCTTAATAAACTAATTCATAGTGAAAGTGGTGATATATATGAATACAAGACGATTTTAATAGACCGTTGCGTAGTGAATTTCAATCCTTAATCATGCCAATTTTAGAAAAAAGAATTTCTTTCGATATTCAAAAAATCAGTCGATTGGGAGTAGTTTGGTCACCGACAATATTTGTTCGAAATATTCCATGGCAAATTAAAGTGTGCAAAAATGTAAAAGGCAAAAAATCATCGCTTAGTGCTTATTTATACTGCAAAAAAGATGATGAACTGAGTGATTGGTTACATGTGGCATCGGCTTCGATCAAACTTCAATCACATGAGGAAAATGTGGAACCAGCTGAATATCATCTTTTACCAACGGTTTTTGATAATACGTCTGGTGGTTATGGTTGCATGTCATTGATTGATTGGAATGATTTAATGAATGTGAGCAAAGAGTATGTGAAAAATAATACGATTGAATTGAACATCAAAATAAAAGTCGCTGATCAAAATGACCGTAATCGAAGTGAGATGATTTTTAGAAATATTGAGAAAAATGCTTACTCGTCAAAATTTGATTTAACCATCACAAATATTGAACAGTTAACAGCTGTAAAATTACCAGCATTCGCGATACAAAATGCACGATTAACTTTTTTCGTTAGTAAATATCAAGACCATCTAACTATGTATTTATGTACTACATTAAAAACTTCGATGATAGTGAAACTTATTTCAACAAAAAGTGATAACAAATCAATTATAAAAAGTGGTTGTTTACGTATCCAAAAATTTATACCGTGGGATGAGCTACTTGAGCCAGCAAGTGCCGTTTGACACTACGCATTGAAAAATTCAATGCCATTTTTCACTCGGGTTGTATTCGCTTAGCTGAAAATAAAAAATTACACTCATTGGAGTGTGTGCACTGTGCCAGTTATATGTCTTTTTGCCTGCTCTAGTGACAAGTTGAATTACAATTGAAAGAAGATATATTAAGAAATATTGTAGACTTCGTACTAGGATTCTGGGTCCAACTTTTAAATCGGTGACACAAAAATGATACCAAATCATTTCTCGCCATTCCCAATCCTGTAAAGTTATATTTTGAATAAAAACACCCGGCAATGAAATAACCGATTACTAATTTTTGTTTACAGTGTACAACAATACTACATCCATCAGTAGCTGTTTTTATTATTCATTTCTTTAATTAATACAAATGTCAATTGTCGATTTTTTGTTGTAAAATAAATCTTAACAAAAGCTTCATCACCTTCAATTACATTCAAACATCAAGTATTCTGATAATGAATCCATTTCAACTCCGCACGTTAAATTCCACGTGTTTTTCCCAATTTTCCACAATTCAATATTAATTTGATTCATTCTTGTTTCATATGAATTGAATTCGTCACTTTTATATCTCAAAAATTTGATCGTTCTCAATTTGAACGTTTTCTCATCAAAATTGTGGAAAAACGTGTACAATTGAGATAAAAGGTTCATTTCAAATTTGGTTGTAATAAATTCTTTGATATTCTTCAATTGTGCAATAGACTGTGCAACATCATATCTATGAACTACTTTTACTTCTAAAGTTTTTAAATTCTTGAATTGACTGACGAAACCAGAAATATCAGAATCAATTCGGTTTCCGTGTAATCTGATCTTCGTCACATTTGGCATATTGAATGAAAGAGGGCCAACCAATTCGCTATTTCTACCAAATATGACATCTAAGGAGTCCACCGATGCCAAAGTATATACAGGATCATTTGCTCGAATCAAAAATCCTCTACCAGGATCTCGAAGTTTAAGCGTTTTCAATTTGGTCAAATGTATGTGGATCGAGCGAAGTGTTGTCATTTCATACGGCATCAAAAGTGCGAGTTTTGTTAGGTTTTTATTGTTTACGAAAATATGATCAAATTGTTGTTCTGCAATTGATCTAGTGCGCAATGTCAACTCTTTTAGATTCTTCACATTTTCCAAGCAATTTGTATCGACTATGGCACCGTAGAATTTAAAAATTTCAAGATTCGGAAATATTGATTCCAATTTAAACGAATCTCTAGTATTTGTGCCGTAAAAATCAAACTTTTTCACACTGGGAAAGTGAAGTTGTCTTTCTGGATTCAAAATTTCTTGCCAAAGCCCAGTATCATCTAGAGTTTTGATTCGAAGTTCAGTCAGTTTATTTACATACGGTTTGATAACATAATCGTTTAGATAACGACGATCATCACCATATAATTCATCATAAATAACATGTATTCTCTTCACTTTTTTACCAAACTTTTGAAACATTTCTATAATTCTGTCATAGCTTCCGATTTCAAGATAATAGTCACCATCCTGGTAATATTCTTGGGTTCCATCGAAGAGATCATCTGGATCGATCACAACTATACGTTTTTCAATAATTCGGGTCATAACAACTCTGGATATATTCATTTGTGCTCGTGCCGCATTTTTTGTGGCTTCTAAACCAGCCTCGTACAGTATAACTTCGATTATATCATTTGGCAAATATGCATTGATACCAACCACCGATGCCTTTTCAACACGTTCTTCATCACTGCCCGCAGCTTCGCATTGGATTATCTAATTTTATGAATAAAATTGAGTTTTGGAAAAGCCATTTCATCCATTCCAATTTAAAACAAAATTATTGTGTGCTCTTAGATTCTTAGGGGGTAATTTCAAAAGTAAAAGGTGTTTAAAATGTTGAAATTTTAATATTTATTCAATGTAAAAATGAAAATTTTGGATGCCAGAGAGAGGTAAACTTTCTTCTCTATCCCTCTATGATTACTGATGTTGAGATAAAAAGATACTCACAACTCCCTCAAAAAGGATGAAAGCCAGAGCCAGTCCGTGAACAAAGTTCATTCTTTTGAATGTTTGAAACTATCAACGATTCAACCGACAAGAACAACTGATGATTTTGTTGATTTGAGACATGCCTTTCATTCGTTTCATGCGCTCTGAAAAAATATATACATTTAATGTTCCAAAATAATATTGACTTAAGCAGTAGATTAGGTTGACGTAATTGGCAAATAATTAATGAGTGGTTCGATATTATTTTCAAATTTCAACGCATATCTTACAATATTTCTGTTTTCACGTGCGAATTAAAGTAAAAAAAAAAAACATTTGCCGCATTGTTAAATTTGAAAAAATAACACAAATTTCACTCCTTTATTCCAATACGTGTCATAAGATAACCAGTGGAATTTATCTGTTCGCGAATATATATCACTCGATTGTACATATACTATGCATAGTTTACGAATATTGAATGTACGTATTTTGCAAAAATATACGCAATATTCACAGTGTTTTGATTGAGATAAAAACCCTAGTAAGATACGATTCCCAATAACTTCTCAAGAACTTCCAGTCGATTTTTGACTATAAATTCAGACAGAATTGCGCGATCAAAAAAAATCTATTTTTTATTTAATCTTGACAACGTGTTCTCTTTCCAGATTAATTCCAATAAATCGTCATCGCATTTCATTTTACCTCTTATTTGTTTATATGAAGTTACTGTGAAACCTTTTATTAATTAATGATTGATCTAGATTAAAATCGTTCCTTTAAAAACCGATATTTTTGACATCACATTCGCAAATCTGGAACATTTGCTTTTGTTCGGCATGAAAGGAGAAAACATCAACGAAGTACACGATTTCATTTGCCAAGTGCTACCGTTGGAACTCAAAAACTTCAAGGTGAACGAATTACATGAAGTAGACACATCACAACTTTTGAAGACTTTGCCGAAAAAAAAAAATTAAAAATTCACAGTTTTTTATATTGAAACACAGGATTAGAGTTTGATTTGAACTGAGAACTACAGTGACGATGGATACTCGATGTTATCCATTCGCTAGCCGGTACAAAAGTGACATATTTAATTTTTTCTCGAGTAGAACTAATAAGCACCACTCTGTTTGAGAGTTTCACGTGAGTATCATACATACGTTCGAAGAAGGATACCGGTCTATAAGACAAAGAAGAGCTAATGCACTTTGAACAATATTTGTATTTTGTATTCATTAAATCTTCAAATGCATCTTATGTCTTATGTCTTAATAAATATCTTAATTATTAGTGCCAATGAGAGAAAAAAAAACCTATTTTATTCGAAAAGTTCATGAAATGTTTATTTTGAATGGTTTTCTACGTCAATAGTCCAAATAAAGTAAAGTCTAGAGTAATTGGATGTATAGTCGAATGTCCGCACATGTGAAAGTCGAAACTTGGGACTAGGTTTAAATAATTGTACCAAAAATGTACTCAATTGTACCGCAATTTATTTTTAATTGTACCTTACTCGTTTGGATAATATTTGAGTAATTAAAGTCGGACAAAAAAAAATTGATGCTGTTCAATTTTATTTAAAATAAATATTCGTTCGTATAACTTTTCTTCATAATGAACGTGTAAAAGTGACTTTATTCAAAGAATTGTAGTTTTTTTTCGCCTATTTTCCCATTAATTTGGTTTGTATAAATTACTCCACACGTACGATTCAATCCAGTCTAAATAGGATGCGACTCTAGTGTATATGCCCGGTGAATCCAACCCACAGTAGTCACCAACGGATACAATACCAACTATTACGCTTGTGCTGGTCTTGAGATATTGCAACGGGCCGCCGCTATCCCCTCTACAAGCATCGGTAACTCCAGCACCATAAGCACAATACTGCCCTTCAATAAAACCACTTTGAAGAGCTGCATCTTGCCAATGATTCAACATCAATCTTGTTCTGCATTCCTCTAGTGGCATTGATTTCAAATTTGCTTTACGCAATAATTTTGACATCGTTGTGTATCCTTAAACACATTTTAAAATAACTGATTTAATTTGATTTTACACATTTCAAAATGAAACTGAAGTCATAAAAGTCCGACACAAACAGATCAGCAACAACGCGCGTTACCAATTGCCAGAAAGTGATGAGATTAATCATTACTTACTTTTCGGATCGCTAATTCCCCAACCGGTAACAGTGAGATTCTGACTTGATGGTACATCTCCAAAATTTGTATGTAAACACGCTGGCCACACAAAATCGTTAAATGGAATTTTATCGAAAACTCGAATCAAAGCAATGTCATTCCACTTGGTTGTGAGATTATAACCGGGATGAATGATGATCGTCTACTCAAAATAATTTATATATTATTTCTTCAGTTTTTATAAAAAAATGAATAATTTTTGGGGTTAACCTTTATATTACGTATGACTGCAGTAGTTGGGTCATTAATGTCATCGAATATTTTAGCCTGTTAAATATTCATAGTAAAAATTAAATGGAAAACGGATGACAATCGCATTTCAATTACCTTTCCCAGTCGAACAACCCTAGGTTTACTAGGGTATATACAATGTGCTGCAGTGAGTACGAATTGGTCCGAAATAATGGAACCGCCACATTTATAAACTAGTACTTGTCTATCGAAATAGCCAAGAGCAGCCTAAGAATTAACACAATTAAAAATCTCTAGGAATATTACTAACAGCAAATAAGTTTAATCGAAATGTAAAAAAATGTTACTCACCATTGCGGGGAATTCACCATCTTCCGTCCCTTCACCCCCAAAAATACGTGGTGTTGCAATTTCGCCGAACGATCGACAGACTAATTAAAAAAAGTTCAAATTTATATAAATAAATGAAATGAAATGCCATGTTATGTAAATAACCAATTACCTATTTCTGAAATGCGAGGTGCTTTTTTAAGTAATTCAATGATTTTTTTATTTCCTGTGTAAAAAGAAGAGAATCCCTGTTTAATCGTAGAACATTTTACATCGAATATAGTTATAATCAAGACCTTTGTTATGAGCAATACTCCAAGGTGTGGCGTTGTATTTATTTTGAGAATAAGCATCGGCTTTGTTTGCTACCAAAATTTCCACAATCTCCTCAAAATCTGAAAGGCAAGCAAAATTTTTACATAATCGTAATTAACAATTTCAGAATTTATACCATTCTCAACCGCTCTATGCAGTGGTGACCATCCACCATCGTCTTCTTTCAAATTGACATTAGCACCGCGTTGGATTAATAATTGAACGACATCTTTGTGACCTTCATTTTATATGGGAAAAATAGATTTTTATTTGTTTCGCAAAATGAATTGAATTCAAGAGACTGAACAAATAAGAGATAGAAAAAATAGATCAAACCTGCCATTGCAGCGAGGTATAACGGTGTTTCACCGCTATAGGTCTGGATATTAACAGATGCGCCCTTCTTAAGGAAGAGTTCAACCATTTGCAGATAACCTATGGAAATGATGTTGATTTTAAAATCAATTCAAATTTGAAAGTCTAAGAAATATTTTCGGAATTTTTCTAGAAATTTTTGTTTTTCAAAACATTTTTTTGACTTGAAAGAGTCACCTTTTTTTGCGGCCATATTTAATCTAAAGTGCAAATAAAAGACGCAATAATTAAATAAATTTCACAATAAATTTCAAGAACGGGACTCAAATAATTGCTCTACTTACGGTGTCCATCCGTCAAATTTTCTTATATTTATCTCAGCACCATGGTCGATCAGTATTTTAACAACATCATAGTGGTCTAAAATTAATAGAAAAAGTTACTTTCTTTCATTCATATTGTTCATGTTAAATATTCCAAAATTGAAGAATTACGTTACCATTGATAGTTGCATCAAAAATAGGGGCACGTCCGTACTTATTTTTCAAATTTAT